ATCACACCTTGACCGACATTTTCGATCAAAAGTGAATTATAGGTACCGGGCTCTAAATATACGGTACATAGGGGCTTGAACTTTTATTGGATTTAAACAATTTTTGGTCAYAATGTGGCACGTATTAAAGACRTCATTCCTGAAAAGATTTATTCCCTTATATTAATTCCTTYTTGATTTGTATACTGGAAACTGAACGATTGAAGTGAAATTTAAAATTTTGCTATATGGGAAGTAGACGTGCCACGCCCATCGCCACGCCCATCTTGGTGAAATTTAATGTCTCTGGCGTATTTGGTTATTGATTTATCGCGCTTTTAGTAGTTTTTAACAGTATCGTTATATGGGGAGTGAGCGGGGTTATCCTGAAATTTCATCCACACACTCTCGGTAGAAGTTCTTATAATATTCGTGCTGAGCGAATTAAGTTGTTGTAGCTTTAGTGGTTTATGAGATATGTACATTAAACTTTTTAGAGTGCGGGGCCACGCCCACTTTTTCAAAAAACTGTGCCCACAGATGCCCCTTGCTACTACGATCSTCTGTATCAAATTGCAGCCTGATATATTAATTTTYAATGACGATTTGTGGGAGTGGAAGTGGTCCCAATGTGCCCATTTTTGTACTAAGGAAGCAGTGTACCAAATATTTCGTTATCTCAATTTTTACTCAAGTTACAGCTTGCATGGACGGACGGAGGGAGACACAGGCAGTCAACCGGATTTCAACTTTTCTCGTCTTCCTATACATATATAACCTGATATCTATCTYGCTTAGTTTTAGGTGATACGTACAATCGTTAGGTGAACAAAACTATAATACTACTCTGTGACAACTTGTTGCAAGAGTATAAARATTTAGTCGAAGTAAATTGCTTTAAATAGAAGTGATAGATTTATATTATTATCAAACAATAATTAATCTTAAAGTATACCTTAAAGTCATCATGAACAAGTAAGGAAGGGCTAAGTTCGGGTGTCACCGAACATTTTATACTCTCGCATGATAAAGTGATACCCGAGATTTCAGGCGTGGTTGTGAACCGATTTCACCCATATTTGGTACATGTCATCACGGTGTTAAGAAAATATTATATACCGAATTTCATTGAAATCGGTCGAGTACTTCCTGAGATATGGTTTTTGGTCCATAAGTGGGCGACGCCACGCCCATTTACAATTTTTAAAAAAAGCCTGGATGAAGCTTCCTTCTGACATTTCTTCCGTAAAATTTAGTGTTTCTGGCGTTTTAGTGATTTTCAACATAACATTTGTATCGGAGGTGGGGGTGGTTATTATCCGATTTCTTCCATTTTTGAACTGTATATGGAAACGACTCTGTACAGTTTGGTTGACATAGGTATAGTAATTTTCGAGATATGTACAAAAAAGGTAGTAGGGGGCGGGGCCACGCCCACTTTTCCAAAAAAAATCACAATAGACAGACATACGGATTTAAACTCTACTCGTCACCCTGATCACTTTGGTATATATAACCCTATATCTTACAAACAACCGTTATGTGAACAAAACTATAATACTCTCTTTAGCAACTTTGTTGCGAGAGTATAAAAAGTGTATTAAAGTCGAACAAGAATTAAAGGAGCTTTTATAATAATGAGATTCCCAACATGTGTTGAGTTCATATTCGTCCTAAACCAAACTCATTGTTTCGCGCGAATACACTCCACGTAATACGTTATCGATAAATAACATAAGAAATGATTGCTAATAAATTTATATTTGTCGTATATTGAAAGCTATGARCAAATTTGGTGTTATAACAATAATTGGAAGAACCCCATTGGTATATACAGATACGTACCTATCCACAGAAACAAATGGAGAAATGAAATAAGATTTGTGTGCGTGGAGCACGTGTGCGAAAAGGTTAATGGGGCGAATTTTCGGTTTCCGTTATAAAAATGCGAATTCAGATGCTTTGCTCATGTGGGCAATGAGGAAAGTCAATTAGAGTKTTTACTGTATTGCTCGTAAAAGTAAAAGCAAAAATCTTCCTCATAACAGGGGAAACGGAAAAATGTCGAGTTAAATGCCCGTAAGCATTTTTATGCTTAATAACTTTTGTCAACGACAATTATCACGTAGTCCCTGGTGCTGAAAACCAAAGTGGCTTTTATGAGTATGACTTTTTGGTTTTACTGTATTTAATAACAAGTAAGGAAGGGCTAAG